AGCATGAGCTAAATCTCTGAGATTTTCATCACTTATTCATTAGGTCTTGCTCAAAGTGATACATACAGCAGATATAAGCCTGAAGCGTCGTCAATGTTCATTCCTTTGCTCATCGAATTTGGCGCGCGAACTGCGCTACCAACGTTTTCATTTGCCGTCGCTTGCAAAAGTAGTACCTCCAGTAGATATCTCTTGGTCGAAAAACAAGAAGTACTTCGTTTCTTTTGTGCAGAGTCTTATCAATAAAGTTGAACTGTGAACTGCGCACCAGCGGTTGTTTTTATCTTCTCTTGACGTATCTATGAATCCAGTTGGTCACCGTTCCGATTGAGCGCATTGCAAAGCCGCTTGACGAATCCATTACTTGATCGTCGACGACGTTGCAAATGCGGCGGATTTGCATTCCTTGGTCGTTGATGAAGATCTAGAACTCCTCATCTCCTTCTCCACTGATGTGATCAAGAAACTTCAACATCGTCCTTTCCGCAGCACGTTGGATAATCCCACCGCATGCTGATGCTTGCCCAGTACCCAGGTCTCGGAGGTCTAGGTTTAGGCTGCTGTGGTAGAAACTGATATCTGTAATTAAGTGAAAACAGTGATGAAAATAGCGCTGTGAAGGAAAAACATGCAACCTACGGGAAATAGCCGTGCCTTCTTGACCTTGCAGATATAAGAAAATGGACCAATGTGTTCCTCGACTGGTTCCTTTAAGATAATCTATGAAACTTTTTAGCTTCTACACTTACTGGAGTGGAGGAGGTCAAAATCGATTGGTCGTATGTTGAACGGTTGATGCCTCACGAGGTGGTTCCACCACTGCCCACTCATAGTTCTTATCCAACTCCAAGTGGGTGGCAGCCACCACAAGGTAAGGATTCTACTTCCTTCACCTATCTCAGCTTTTAGTTTTGTTCTTGTTTTTCTACATGTTTCTTATGCAGTTGTTTTATACGAAAGAGTCTAGAAAGGCCAATTGTGCACGTTTGCGGCGCTGCTGCATTGTGGGAAGAAGGGAGGGGCATCGCAGTGCGGTAGTTCATCTTAGCAAGAACAACCCAATTTCTCAGAGGAAAGTGAACCTCCAATATGTGTGTGAGCCACTTTTGTTGTTTAGGAATAGGACTAAGCATGTATGAAATGGAGATGTTGCGTATTTGAAGCCAGGTGCTTGTCTTGATATGTCTTCACAACCCTCTCCCTCCGCCGTTCACAACATATACAGTGGTTTTTGTCGTGATTCTTCCTTCCCTGAAAAGCTAGCCTGCTCCTTGTGTTAAATAGCCTCCTAAAAACTTGGCGCGCATTGATTCTAGTGAGTACCTGCTTATAACCCAATGTGGTATGTGAACGGCTGCGCGCTTGCGAAACTTGCACTAATTTGCTGTGAAGGTAGTCTAATAAATGCACTCGTTCCGACATGTCTTTGCGACCGCTTGTTGGAGAGCTCTCTCGTAGTACTAAGCTTCTAACACTGAGCTTGGTGTATCTTATTGACCACGCATTACAATGCCACTCATAATCGTAGCGACACTTTTGATCTGATTTGGCTTGTACGGTGATTTATGGGGAGAGAATTCAAATCAACAACCAGAGCCCAGCAAACATGATCTCCTTTTTGAAGGCATGAGAGCGTGGTGTGAGACGTACCCTGACATAGCTCAGCCTACATTTTCGCCACCAAAACTTATAGAAATATAATATTTAGTTGGAACATAATAATGTAGCGTTTGCGTTCGTACTTATAAATTCAGTCGACGCATCTTTCGCTCGCTCAGGCAAGTGTCATACTCAGAAGTACTTTCTCTGCTCTACAGTACCTTATTTTTCCATTGATACATAGTGCTTTAAAGCTGGAAAGTTCAGGCTACAGAAATCAGAGTTTTGACAACTGCTAATCTTTGGCATTCACAACGACAAGATGGGGTGATTCGAATTCCATATTACTCAGTGGACCTTCCTACAATCGACCTCTCTTTCTCGTCCAGTTCGCTTCTACATCTCCCAATATTCGAAACACTTACGATTAGAACTTTTAAAACGGGCTCAATACTTTTTCTTTTAATTCCAAACCCTCCAAGTTGTTGTGAAATGGACTAGAAGTCGCAAAGAATGACGACGGGAATCACTAATTGGTTTTATGTTTTGATGTTATCGTTTTAAACCTTTGTGCCGAATGCAAACGCTATTATGTTCCTACCATAGTTCGGTTGAAGATACGGTATCCTGCCTTATGTTCAGAAACCTGCCATGACAAAGACACGTCCGAAATTGGGCGATTGCTGAGAGGAACGAATGTTCTGCGCGAGACTTTTGAGTCTTTAGGGTTAGCCCCAGGATGGACGGGAAACTCGTTCAACTCGAGTAGGGTTCCGACCGAGGTTTGACCACCGTTCATAGAGCGCGCATCACTTTTTTCCTCGGTGCATTGGTCTCCAATGACCTAGGTCAATCATTTAATCCGAAGCTCCAATCTTGAAATCAAGCCCAATCTCATTCTATTCACTTGCTCTTGTGGCTAATGGAGCGCACGCAATGAATTGTGTAGTTCCGACCTTATATCTTATCCTAGGTGGTCACTCTATTTTCCACATTCTCTTGTCCTAATCGCGTCCCTTACGATTCATTAGAATGGAGCACCACCTCAAGACTCTCCTTTGCTTGCCCGATATCATAGAAACGGTCAAGCTTTGTCCTGTTTTGGGGTTCGCGTTCGACTCAGAAGGAGTGGTCTTGTAAGTGTTGCTATAAAAAGGGGAGAGGGGCGTTTATTTTTTTTTGCCGGCAGAACTGACGGTGGTGCACATGCTGCCTACAGTTCTCATCGATAATCTGGATTTCAGTATCATTTCTTTACCTCGTAGTTTATCTGTAGGTTTTTGTCTATAATACCCAAACCATGATGTCGGTTTGGAAAAATCTTCCATTATTATCAGATCCTCCACCAAACTTGCCATACTACGTTCGCCGGAGGCGGGATCACACGTTACCGCTATATCTCAGTCGAAAGAAGGATCTTCTCAATGAGGAAACACTGGACATCGATCATGTGGAGCTAGTCATAATGAAAGAAATCGAGGGCGATGTATTCGTGAGTTCCTCCTCCGTTGCAGTCTTGAGCACTTACTATGTTCAATGTTCAACGTTCCAATAATGTTCTAGGCTTGCGAGAGCGACCTTCGAGAATTCCTTGAGACCGAGCTTGGTATGCCTGTAGCTACTCACGTTGATGAATTGAAGGGGAGAATCACGATTAAAGGAGCTGATAGATCTCTTGTTGAAAAATTTTTATTCTCGAGGGGATTTTAGTCATATCCTCTGTGAACGTTTAACCCTCTATGTTTCTACTGTTTTTGTTTTCATTGAACTATTTTGTTATATTCCATTAGGATGTTCTAATTGTGATGAACCTCTAGATGGCCCATAGTTTGTGCCAGTATACCTATAAAACATTTTTCTTTGATTTTTACAAGGTCGTTGTGGTTCATTCCAACAAATTTACTTATTTCTCACTAAGGTCGGTCTCGGCTGTTTTGGTGATTGATCGACAGATTACATTACAATGTTAGGGAATGTGCTGTTTCTATCAAAGCTGCCAAAATTAAAGCATTGGCTTCTGCTTTTTTCAATTGTTAGTTAATCGCAGGTAAAGTTAACCCCTATATAGAGGAGTTTCGTAGGAGCCTGTTACTGCAAACCTTTGTCGTACATGCTCCAGGCATCACCTAGTTCGAGAAACCCACTGTTTCTTTATTTTTACAATTTCCACAAGTTTACGACTCAGCGAGAAAAATAATTGCAAGGATGCAAAACTTGTTTTCTCGGTTCTTAGGATAGAAAAAAGTGGTTTCCAGTCAAGTAGGGGTGGGTGGTCGATTCGAACTTCCAGGTTCAAGGTCAACTAGGTTCTGGTAAGATAGGGAACGTAGAAAACACTGGCGAAGTTGCACTAAGAGCGGAAGGTGAGTGTAATTCAGAGAGTACAGCGTACACCCATGGGCGCCTGGCAAGGTGATGAGTCATGTAATACGCTTGTCTCTTGTCTGCGCTAGTTTACCGAAACTGACATGGGATTACGCTCAAGGTCACGACTGGAGTTTAAAGTTCTCGACTGAGTTTTATGCTTTGCAATTGTCTCGTCAGAACGGCTCGATAGTATCGATTTGTGAAGCGACTCGAGAGTAGAAGTGTTGTTTGTGGTGGAAAGAAAGTCTAGTTGGGGAGAATATGAAGTGGTAGTATATTAACACATTGACGAGGGCGTGATGTACAAGCGGTTGACATTCCACACAGATTGACTCGTTCTGCTCGTATCGTTTGCCATTTTCTGTGATTCAGTACTGTTCATTTGCATTATCGGATCCGCACTGCATACCAATTAATAGTCAAGGAGTAATGGCGCTGCTTCAAGAAATATGAGGAAAAGATGCCGAGATACAGCGCAGTGGGCTGTCGTCAAATTGTTAAGAGTTCACGCAAAATATTAGGAAGTAAAGATTTCTATTGTTCAGCGTGATAGTCGATGAGTCGGTGAGTGTTTTTGGTAGCGCGTCGCGCGGTGGGCTGAACAGGGTGTTGTGTTTGATTAGCCATGGTGATGATTCACTGACAGAATATGACAAGAGCAGTTTCGGCCACGTTTTCGCGAATGCCTCCTCTCTTCATCCCATAATGTGGAAAAATTTCTTGAATAGGAAGTGTAAGTCTTTAATTGGACTAATTCATATGTGCTCTGATTTTGTGCTACTACCTAGCTTCCGTTGTTGCCTGTAGTATTGATGATTTCAAACTAAAGTAATCCTTTTTACAGCATTTAAACTACTACGTAGAGCGTCGTTTGCACTACGATCTCGTCTACGTAAGATGCCATCTTCTGCTTGCTGTTCCAACTGCTTCACAAAGTACTCTATCCTTAACCCAGAGGTGAGTTGGGTTTTGGTTCAAGTTTAGATGAAGGGGGCGTTGCGGCGCAGAGCACCAAAACATTCAAAACCATTACAAAAACTTTCATTTTTGTGTCCACTTATTTCCCTTCTTGCACAAGCAATAAGGCTTACCCACACCGGAGGCATCCCACTTTGTGAGTTGAATTCCCTGTTGACGAACCAGAGCGCCGCAATGCCCTTCCACACAGTTGCGCTCCTGTTTTTTTTTCAATTTTTGTTTGGGACCAAACTCCGTGTTTCATTTCTACATAGTTTCTGTACTTCTAGACCTTAGTTAGCCATAGATCTGTGGGAAGCCGTATTGTTGCAAAGGGGATGTTAATTGGAGACGTCCTTTCTTCCCATGAAGTCTTTGTTTCAAAATGATCGAAATTTGAAATTCGAGACCCACAAGCGTTTGTCATTTCAAAACGGTATCCTTGCGCCCGATTCAAACTTCTGCTTATACATACCTATATATTTTCGAGAATTTTAGTCTATTTAATGCATACATTCTCATAGACCGGTTTACGAAGTAATATTCATAAAATTAAAATCAATATGAAACACTGCATTCTCTCATTTTTTCTTCTTCATCATCTCACAGCCGTAGCCCTTGGGAACAGAGGATGATCGATCCAGACCATCCATGTACGTATGGAAGAAAAGCATCCGTCACTTCTCGTAGAAAGTTTCAATTTTCCCAGTTCATTACTTCTTTTTTGTGTACTGTCCTTTATGGTTTTTCTTTTCGCAGTTCATCAAAAACAGGAAAAAGCACGGAAAACCGTCTAGGCTGCATATTGGCGCTAGAGCGGAGGGGAAGACTGATGCTTAAAAGTGATGAGGAGAGTGAAATAAAAAAAGGTGTCGAGAATATGATAAAGGAAGCCTCATAACTATGAAAAGGAATAGAGTGGCAAAAAAGGCGGAGTGTTCATGAAGTCGATATCAGATTTGTGCAAAACGGTCGAAATATTTGTGCCACTGGGAACGAAAGGTTAATGACATTTGCAAAAGTGCTGGAGAACGTTTGCAAAGGAGTGGTAGTTCCTGTAAGTTATCAACTCTTCTCTTTTGCCATCACTTTATTAGAAAAAATGCCTGCCGGGTGCCATTTTCAGAGTCTCATTCAAAAAATTGCTG